TCATCTGTATTTGTGTTTAGAGGCGACAAAGCCTTTTATTTCCATTCCATATAACTCTGTTCTACATTAGTCTGCAGTTTACCTGAGTGTCTCGTAGCCCAATGCTTTGTTAAAGCTGAACTCCAGGCAGATATAAAACACACAAATGAATGCAGCTCTGTATTCAATAACACATCATCAAATGGATTTCCTTAAAGTGATATTAAAGTCAAAAGGTTTTAAAGATGCTTCAAATGCTGATTGAATTACTTACAATGGATGCTGCTCCTTGCTGTTTAAAAGTTTTAGTTTCCTGCAGAATCAGCTGGTCCCCTGAGCACTGGCCCTGATATCCTGTTTTAGGGCGGCTCCATTCCCTTGCAGGCTCCTGTGGAGTCACAGTTGTGTGTATATTTGCTAACACACACACAGACAGAATAAGCAAGCCAGTCCCACAATGCTCCTTCCTTCTCCAAGCCAGTAGATGGACAGGTGCTGGAGACTTGTCATATTGTACTGGCCAGGAAGTGCAGGTATGCAGAGCTGAGAGAGTTGGAGCTGTTTGAAAACATGACTAAGTGTTTGGGCAAAATTTAAAGAAATACTTTGCTGGGCAATGTATATTTGTTTGATCTGGATTCATTCATGAAAAAAATTGATGGTTTACCGAACTACACATCTGTGCAGGTGTCCGTACTCGGACGCAGACAGGATGGATCCTGTCTGCGCCCGAGCACCCGCACAGATGTGCAGTTCGTGTGAGCATACAGCCGCGTACTCCCATAGAGAAGAACAGGCTGCTGCATACAATCATATGCAGCACCTGTCCTTCCCGGGAGCAGCCCAATACGGCCGTGCATGCAGCAGGGATCTGTACGGGCCAGTTCTTATCAGTGTGAATGAGGCCTATGCCTGGCCTTAAGACTAATTTTTTTTACCTTGTTTCAATATCAGGATTTTGAATGGTTGCCATGCACTCTTGCCCCGTGTTCTGTATTATATACTCCTGACCCCTACACTGTGCGTTACACACTCTTGACCCCTGAAGTCCATGCATTACACACTACTGATTGCTGCACTCTGTGCGTTACACATGCTTGACTCAGGGTTTATGCAACCATGCATATTCAGCCGCTCCCACTGTTAACAATGCATTATTTCACTCCTTATAGTGCCCAGGGCAATTTTGTCTTTACATCTTCAATGCCTGCTTCCTCTTGCAGAAGTATGTGACCAATTGTTTCAGGGCATGGTAAAAATGGGGGTGTGGCTACAAATGAGGGTGAGGTTTTATGGGTGTGGTTAGGACATGGTCAGTATGGTGTCCCCGGATTTCATTTTGAACATCTGGTAACCTTATTGTAAGTCTGCTAGCCATAGTTTAAAGGCCATTGATTCTGGTTTTAAAAAGTCATTCTGTGGGGTGAATCTGCACATACATTTGCCAGGACTGTGAATCTTGAACCCATTACAGTGGCGCACCCGAACCCCATGCCCTTTAAAACTGCTAAAGCATTAAAATCAGCTGACCACAATAAGAATGCCATTCCAAGAGTTGTGTTTTAAACAGCCAGACAACAAATGTATTTTATTCTAATGATTTATTTACAAGTATAAGGCGGAATTAGCTCTTTTTCTATATACTAGTTTTAAAAAAAGAGCCTTTGTCATCCCATTTTACTGTGCTTACATTAGTATTCATTTAAACACTGTAGTACATTAATAACAAAAACATCTTTAAAAGACAAGATACATGTGCTTGACAGCTTCACAAACTTTTTTTGTATAAAAACAAACGTGTGATAAAGTGTGCCAGTAGACCAAAAAAAAAAGAAAACACAATAATTGGGGTTATTCAATAGCAAATGGCAAAGAGCGGGGGAGTGCAGTAGCCCAAATCAACTAATGAGAAATCGCCTTTAACAAAGAGTCTTTCTGTTGCTGAAAGCAGACTTCTGATTGGTCATAAACACCACCACCCAATGCAATGTGTTATTAATTAAGCCCTTTTTTTTTTAATCACATAAAGTGATTTTTTTTTTTAGTTCGTAGTTTCTCGCCCGTACTTTTAACATGATATGTTCAGCTTAGTCTTCATGGTCAGAAGAGAATCGATAGGCACTTTATTAAGTGGTGATAACACATCTAAAGACATATGTAACAGATTTCTTGTCAATGAGACTGACAGAAAAACTTGACTCCCTTACTGACAAAAAAAATAAAATAATATATGTGTGATAACGCTGGGTTAAGCTTTATAAAAATAAGGACTGGAAATCTCAGATGACAATGGAAGGAGACAAAGCTCCGCGGTGAAATATTTTGTCTGACAATTAAATTTAACCACATTCATATGTATCTGCACATCAGCGACAATTACAGAAGGCCCTTCAAGCAGTGTTTCCCTGTGTGGATTATGTACCATTGGTGACCATTGTTCTCCTTACAGGTGGTAAACACCAGGTCAAGGTTTAGGATAACAGTCCACAGAACTATAAAGGACCCGTGGCGACAGATGTCAGTGTGGATATTATGACCACAATTACACTTTTCAGAGAGAAGAATAGCGTGCCCTCTTTAAACTGGGCACACCAGCAGCATATCAAGAATAGTTGAAGCATTAAAGGAGAACTATGGGGTCAGTGCTTTTCCCCATAGTTCTCCCCGGGGTCACGGGAGGACACAAACTAGCGTCCTCCCGTGACCCAAAGCTCAGTATACCGAGAGGTGGATCTGACATTACTGTCTGGCTCTGCCTATCTAGAGGTAGAGCTAGCTGTACCCGCCCCCTCCCCCGTCAGTTCCGCCATTCAGCGCTGGAGGATCAGACAGGGGAGGGGGGGAATCCCTGCAGGGAGCCATGAGTGACAGTCACGGCTCTCTGCAGGGAGATGATCGAGAAGTGAGCGAGCGACGGAATGTGTTTGCTCACCTCCCAATCTATTGAGCTGACGTGTGACAGTTTCATTGTCACACGTCGGCTCGAACTATGAGGCTGAGTGATTTTCACTCGCCTCATAGTTCTCCTTTAAAGATGAAGCCCAGGCAGATTTAAAAAAAATAAAAAATTAATACAGCTCTGTAATAATTGATATAGCATTACACGTAAGAACCTGAATTTGACCTGGTATCCGCCTCCTGCCATCCTTTGTACACCAGAGCTCAGACTGGGAGAGAAGCAGAATATGCAGTGCTCATATGAGAACAATGATCATACTGAAAGAGCAGAGCGACAAAGAAATGAGCTCACCGATTTGCTTTTTCTCTTTCACTGTGCAGTAATAGGTGGGGGGAGGGGGGGGGGGGGGGGGGTGGATACAAGACCAAGCTGTATTATTTAACTGCAGTAGAGAAAAATCAGGTCTCCAGGCCCCAACAACATGGATGACATTTGCGTTTACTGGCAAGCATTAAGTGCTCACGTAAGGGAAAGCGATGACGTTTGGATTTTAGCGAATGCAAACCTGTGAAAAAGTCAGTGTGGTATGGACTAAGAGGGCAGTAGTAAGAGTCAAGGAGAGAGGAGGCCACAAAGTGATCAGGAGATGCAACCTGGGGCCATAGGGCATGTTTAGTGTAGGTGATGATAATGATGTGCAAAATGCAGTAACTGATGGCAACAAATACAATTTTAGCTCACTGCAGCCAGGTGAATGAAAGATGAATTCTTATGGGTTACAGCAATCTGCACTGCATAAAATCCACTACATGAAACATTAACTTGTTTGTCTCAGCACATGATATGATTGCCATGAAAGATATGTAATACCAGATTGGGATATGAGATAATATGGCATGAAAGTTTCAGGATATAAATGGTCTTCAGAGGCGTGGCAGAAAGATGACCACCAATGGGAATTACAACACAAGAAGTTCTAGAAGTTCTAGTGATGGCAGCTTTTACACATAACTTTTTCTCATCTAATATGATTCTGAAACCTGGTCATTCTTCTTATCACATGACAAGAGCTACTGCTTAAAGTGTTTCACTTATGTAGAAGGATTCTCAACACTGTAACAGATTCCTCCATTTTAGACTCGCACCCTATGGGGTAACGTGGAAGCACAAGGAAAATGTTCTCCAGATACTGGTGAAATGTCACTCAGTGAAATTAATTTACCCTTTGTTCAAACCTTTCCCTTAATCTGTCTGGAAAATAACTGACTCTCAACTTCCATAAACAGGGTCAGCAGCCAATTTCAAGCTACCATCCACAATAATCAGACCACAGTTTATTAAATCACTATAATATTACATACTAAGCTTGGAAGCCAGTTAAACCGATCCATCGTGTTGGTCTTGTACTGCCTCAATAGCTGGAAAGCGCGAGGCAGGAGGGTACTTCAGTGTTGTTGGCTTCATACACTGGTGACATCATCACAGAGCAAACAAACTGCGCTATATTATCACAAGTTCAATACTGTGGGAGTCTTAAATTAATTCTTATGCAGAGAGAGTCCAGTGGATTCCACTCACAGTGGTGTTTACTAAAGGTTTATGCAGGTTGCAATGACCTCATGCATACCAGTGTCCACGGGTAAAGTTTAAAGTTCCTATGGCAATTAGTTTTTTTTTCTCTCGTTCCCATAGAAACATGAAGAGAAGATTCTGACTGGTTGATATGGGCACCATGCACTGTTCTTCCTTTATACACTTTTATGAATGAGGTTTGGTGTGCAAAGAACCCCCCAAGCAACTGTGGAGCAATGGCAGCCATAGCGTAGCAGCAAGGGTGACACTGTTCTTAGGTTTTCTAAGACTTGTGGAGGCCTTCATTTCCTTAGTAAAAGTTTAGTGTGCAAGAAACAGGAAATATTTTGGTTTAGCTTAAAATGATCTGCCTCCACTGTTTGTGAAAAATACATTTCTAAACATTCTGAGAAATCCAAATATGATGAAATACATTCTAGAATTAAAAATGTTTACAAAAAATCCAGGCATGTACACCATACCACTTAAATGGTATTCATGGATAGGACAAATATCTTTATACAATTTTTGAGATGAAAGGCAACTGTAAAAAACATGAATGTGTCACAATTTTTTTTTCTTTTTAGCTACATAGGAAATTACAACATAAACATAATCAACGTTATACCTGCTTAAAAACCAAACCAAAGTGAGCCGTGTAAATGATTAAATGACCAATTTTGGGCTGCATGATAACAAGAAAATAATACTTTAGTCAACTGTTCAACATATGTATAAAAAGAAGAATAAAAGAACCATTACGTAGAAACCTCAACTCATTCCATTCCCACATTATGTCAGTAAAAAATTAAAACAAAAAGATACATGGCAAAATAAAACAAGAACAGCATGGCAGTCATTTCTTGACTCTTCATGAAACTCAGCTGAACGACATGATCTTCGGGGGAGAAAGAATAAATGTCACCAGTGATTGTCTTATCATAAAACATCCTTCCATGTGGATAACACTTCAGACCAAGAAGACCAGGGCAAGGAGACAAGAAGAGGTCCATTGTTGCTTTGCCCGTATTGCAAAAGGCACTGAAAACAAGCATGATGTGTACCACAGTACCATTCCGTTTAAAAAATAATACAAAGTCTTCCATGAAAATAATTATTGCCTTTGTTTATTTAACAGTGTTCAGTGTTCCTCAGGAGTAGAAGGGTCTTCCCTGTTCTTGCGGTAATCGGTTCAGCCTTGCTACCTGAGACGGAGATGGTGGGACGTCTTGACGGAAAGGACCTTTAGACTGGGCGTAATTTGAGTCATAATTGTCGGACCCTTCAGATACCTTTTTTTTAAGCTGCTGTTCTTTCCGCCGTTGCTCCTGTCTAAGAAGTTCTTGGGTTTCCATCATGACCCTTGCGTTGAAGCCGTGTCCACCCATGTAGCCATTCCTCGAGCCCTGATAGCTGGAATATCGAGGATTCTCCTTGGCGCTCTGGAAACCCTCTCCAGGCGAATAGGCTTGCTCCCATGAGTCTTGAGACACAGAGCTAGGATTTTTGCGATTTTGCCTGCATAGGGACAAAAACAAAGGGTCGTTAGCTTTAAAGTGGAGGCAAACCCTAACAATTAACTTTTCTTATCTGCTACTTTTTTGGTCCGTTACCTATACCATAAAAAGCATTATATGTGCTTGATATACAACATGTTGATCATGCCAGTAATTCATAGCTGTCCCATGTCCTGTGCACATTTCCTGTTATCTTACAAGAGAACTATGCGGTAAATGTTTCCCCCATAGTTCTCTTTAGGATCACTGGAGGACATATATTAGCGTCCTCCCGTGACCCAAAGCTCAGTATATGTAGCAGGCAATTACCCACGATATACTGAGAGCGCCGCAGCCAGGTTGGATCCCGACATTACTGTTGAAATCCACCCAGCTGCATGATTGACAGCTGGCTCTGCCTATCTAGAGGCAGAGCCAGTTGTGCCTGCCCCCTCCCCCGTTCGTTCCTCCACTTAGCGCTGGAGGATCTGAGAGGGGAGGGGGAATCCCTGCGGGGAGCGGTGAGTGACAGTCACCGCTCGCTGCAGGGAGACGATCGGGAAGTAAGCGGATCGGTGCATGTTTCTGCTCACTTCCCGATCTACTGAGCCGACCTGTGACAGCTTCTTTGTCACAGGTTGGCTCTATGAGGATGAGTGGAAATCACTCACCTCATAGTTTACCTTTAAGGCAAGAACTGGATGGTTAAAGAGATTTAGTTTAGCAAAAGACAATAGGCATTGCTGACACTACTCAGTCTACAAAAATGCTGGGTTTTGTCTGCCGACAACAGGACTTAGGACTGACATATCAACAGGTATTTTTCCGCACTTGCAGGGTCTTTAAAGAGATGAGGAAATATCCATATTGCAGATATGTACTTTTTCTGCCCTAATATACACTTTAATTCATAAATACTTCCCACATATTTGTGCTTTACTGTCCCTTCTTTTGAGTGCACTCTGTCTGCTCAGACAATGTAATCTCTCGGTGGCTTATACTATTATATCATCAGTCCAACATACACATAACTACTATGTGGATTATCTACAAATCTTAATAAGAAATATTTAAACAAAAAATATGAACAAGCAGCACATGGAAAAAAATACTTTTATGTAGACTTTAAAATACTGCGTTCAAATGTATACTCTTTGCTCTACATGCCCTATAGTTTCCCAATAAGGTAGACAGCACACTTTTACATAAGGTCAGAAATCTTAATGGGCTAAATTAATAGATAAACCTGATTGTATAAACAAGAAATACGCTAATCTTGGCCCTAAACCCATCACATTCCTAAGTCTTGTATACACAACAGACAATGTTCTTGCCAGTAATTGTTCCACATAAACTAAACAAATTATACCAATCTTACCAATCCCTAAATACACATATGAAAGGAAAAGAGAGGAATAGAATATTTACATAAAAGAATAAGTCATAACCAAAGAAAAATCACCTTTCAATATTAGTGTAGTCACTATAAAAAGGCTGAGCTCATTAGTTGCTAAGGATTGCTCCAGCTCACTGCTGTTCACATAGGGTTATTTTAATCAAATGACCGTTTGATAAAAAGAATGAAAAGAACAATAATGTACCCAAAACAATGGCAGATAATTAGAAGTTAGCAATTAAGAGCGTTCAACCTATTAAAATCTGATTTCTGATTGGTTGTGATTGTCTCTGCTCCCCAATGCATTGTGTTGCCATGCTGGGTTACACAGTGTAAACAGTACTCCTTGTCTGCTCTTGTTTCCGATCAAACTCCTTTGCACTAAATTTTCCTTTACTGTTTTCTTGATAAGTTGAAGATATTATCATCACCAGTATTATAAATCCTATATGGAAAGGTTGATATTTGTTTTTATTGTTAAAAACTAAAAAATACAAAATCATAAAATAAGGATTGGAAAAGGTGGAGAATATTTCTGACAATGGAAGAATAACCAAAAATGATTATTTCCCCTTCACCTTTATGCATTTGTTTGAAGTTAAACATTTTATAGGCAAATCAAACAGCAGTGAACAAAAGAGCAGCGATCCTACTGCTTTCATCTTAACAGAAAGAAAAGTCAAACAAGTTCTAAGTATGGACTATAAAGTCCTCCAGCATCATGGCTGCTAGGATGTCTAAGCAGTCAGGAAGAGTCTCTTCCCCCGGCCTTTCCTCTGAGGAGTGGTATTCCTGACAGTTATGTCTGGGCTGTTTCTGTCGGCTGTGCCAAGCTACATTAAGTTTCAGTACTGTAGGAAGCTGGCTGTGTGAGGACTCCCGTAGATCTGAGGTCATTGAAGTTATTGCTTCAAGGTATAGAAAGCACAGCGTGTGCCAAGAACCTTTTAATTCTATGAAGGTCAGTCTTTGAAACAAGCGATACTTTGGAATCGCCGGCAGTTAAATATATAAAAAAAAAGAAGACAAGGATGTTGTACTTAAGTCATACAGTTACACTTGGAAATGCATGCAAACTGTACTAAGCTGGTGTCAGTGTTATGTGCAAAGATGTGTTACTAGTCCAACATTTGCCAAAATAACAGCAATATGGGCAGCATGATCCAGAAAACTAAAGGCTACTGGCAGCTAAGGCATAAAGACTTACAAACAATTATCAGAAGATGTAACATCACACAAAGCACGTGTTGGCTTAAGGTTAAATGTAATTAACTTTAATGTGTGTTATGTTTAACCATGTTATGTTTCTCTGCACAAATATCCTCTATACAGTTGCATTGCTCAGTACCTAACAAAGATTGCACACAGACATTGATGCAAAAGTCTTCATCAAATCTATTTTTGTCTGTTTAAAACTTCACGCACATAAAAAAAATGTCTGTATTAGTCCTAAAGCAACATGGTCTTTAAAGCTCAACTATAGACAAAGCATTTCAGATGTCCTCACACCTGACATCATAATGATGGTGGCACAGTGATGTGAAATCTCAGAGAGAAAGCAGAATAGTTGTTTAATGTTACTAAATGCTGAAAAATAGAAGAACACAGTGGGGATTTTGGGGCACCGAATGACAGATCCAATAATTTTAAGAAAATATAATTTTTTTTGTTCAATAGAAAAAGTAAATAAAACCATTACAATATTGAAAATCTTGGAATTAGACAGAAACCCCCAAAAATCACTCAATTCCCTACTGAAAATATAGTTCATAAGCATAACATAATTGTCTGAAATAGTAAAACCCAGTCTTAGGTATAGCAATGTCATCAAGCAAAATAATAATACATCATCCAATGTCAAAAAATACATGATTTGGTCATGTTGATCAGTGACAAGGTTCAAAGACCGGTAATGATTTAATAAAGAAAGATGATGATCTTATCTGAAGACAGTAGGGTTGGTGATTTCTATGCGTTTCGCGCTTCATCAGGGAGTTGGAGGGAAAACTGTCTCCCCAGAGAGGGGTCAGCGGACATACATCGGATGCACAAGACCAGGCATTAAAGAACAGGACCCTTCCCCCTGGGGATGATGAGGGATGAGGGCCGATACCACAGAGGACCATATAGTAGGCTATAGAGGGAAGCAAATGTCTCTGGTTCAGAGGCCCATCTACTAAGGCCAGTCTAAATGGATCCAAAACAGGGGGGAAACCCCTTGGTCAACCTTTCCAAAATCCCCCACAAGTGCCGTCGGTGTGTGCGGAGCCGTCTCAAGCTGCGCACTAAACTAAATGTTACTAAATGCTGACATTAGGAGTCTTCCAGGAAAAATGGAAATCTCACATTCATCTAACATCCTCTACATTTGCTTTTGGATCCAGCAATTACAGAAGCTGATAACATCACTGAAACCTGTTCAACGACTGCATGCACAAAATACATCTGACAGTAGCTGATAGGGTCAGATGTATGCTCTAAAAAAAAAAAGTTTTCCTGTAAAATTCTCTTGTTATATAAAGTTTATATTTAGATATTTGCTTTTTACTACAACTACATGGCTACATGAAAACTTCAATGTTATGATAGTTATCTATTAGACAAATGGTCCTTTTTAGTACAGCTGTGTTTTTTTTTTTTTTCAATGCATTTGTCCTGTTTCCATTTATTTCTTCCTAAAATGACATAAAACCCTCATATAATTAAATATAAACCCGTAAAAAAAACTGTTTTATTGCGGGTGAATCCTGACCGTGGCAAAGTGAGTAATATGAATTTGACAGCGTGGAAGCAAAGTCCTGTGACTCATTTCATTCTCATTGACATCCTTTAATTTAATTGGGGATCACATGGCATTAGTGAATTTTCATTACAGCCAGAGCCCTTCGATCATCATATTGCTAATTGGAATCAGATCAGCTGGTCATCTAATCCAAGTATAATATCAATATATTTTAATTACTGTATATGAATTAAGCTAACAGCTAAATGCAGCAAGCGTTTAATGAGCGATATAATCTACTGCAGCTTCAAAAAGAGTTTAACGGCTCAGCCTACAGCAGATGCAGAGGTTTTACGTACAACCTAATGGGCATATATTACAGTAATGAAAAGGAAAGAAAAAAACAACAGTCAACCCCCTGGCACAATATCATTAATCCCACATGCTTTAATTAAATAAGATTCCAAAATAAACCTAAGGGCAATGCCAAGATTTCCAGAAAGGCAAGATGAAATCCTACAAATTTTGTCCAGCATGGAATGAAGAACAAATGTTCAACATGGCCATCCCAGAAACAGATACAATCAGAATGGGGTCCTAAGAAAAGTAATCACTTTGGCCCTCTAATACCTTTAATAACATTGATAAAGACTGCAAAAGCCACAGAGGAGTTGCCCTATTTGCACTGCACTGGCAAGGACCCATCAGGCCCCAATCACCTAACACAAGGTACACTGCCCCTTGTAAAGAGACAGGCAGGTGCACAGCTTTCAGCAGTTGCATTCCCCGGCTTACTGCATTACCATGCTGGCACTCTGGACGTCCACCAGGCCCTGGGCTCTTGCAAAGGTTGCCTTGTGGATGATCCAACTCTAGGCCACCCTAACCTAAACTTTCCTAGAAACGTTAAACGGTAGGATACTAATTATAGGAATGTCAATATATAGTATAAAGGATTAAATAGGCGCCAAGTATGGCTACTTACACTATGCAACCCTCAATTAATCTCTATTTGTCTTCATCCTCTGAGCTGTACTTACACATGCACATCAGTGACTACAAATACTTCAGTAGAAAGTCCATCTAGAGACTCGGTGTGGGACATGGTGTGGGAGAGGCTATCCATATGCTGGAGGAAGCATATGATATATTGGCATGTATATGATATACCTATAGTGCTGAAGGAGGGGTGGTGGGTAAGAAAAGGATGAGTGCACCAAGTACATTTATCCTTTAACACTAATTTACCCTTTAAAGGAGAACTATGACTTAAGGGCAAATAAAAATACCCCTTACCTTGATTGTAGTAGCATCGTTCCTTTTTTCTAAAGACGCAGCACATCACAGATTTTACTTATTTAGCCTAAGGAATGCATTAATAAAGAAAAGATAGAACCCCATAGTTCTCCTTTAAGTCATTATTATTGCACTATGAACATGTATTAAAATAATAAATGTTAACGATTAACTAAATGAAAAACGATACATCAGTCTTTACAGTCAACTTGGGACCTCAAACATATTAGATGTGGTGACATGTTTTGCAGACATGCGTGTCATAGAGGTACATTGTTGCCAACAGTCCTGACCTGCAGATGGACACATATACCTGGCTTGTTGCACCTTCTGAATACATCCATTTTAGCACATGTGGTATCTCAGATGCCTTCAGTAATTGCAAAACAGCTGCCCAATATAGACATCAATAATGTAGCCACCTGACTCAAACCCAACCTCTATGAGTCAATGGGATCCCCCAACACTGGACTGAACCAAATTGCACTATTTATGTCAGCGGTGTTGGGATGAACCACTTAGGTGTCAAGCTGAAGATGGTCTCCCAGTTGGCCCTTAACTGACTCAGATCATGATTTCAGGAATAAATACTCTTTGGATTTAAACCAGACATCGTACTTCCACTTTAGCCCAGCATCTTGTTTATCCAAGCTTTATCCATTAATCTATTTTTCAGTACCTTTTCCTTAATTCTTCTCTGCAGTAGCATAACTTGTTCTATGCCAGCACTCTAAGTAGAAGTCTGTATTCTAGCTAATTCTGCAGTAATGCACTGAAATGTGTGACAGAGTGCATTCCTTGCATAAGTTCTGCTCTTGCTGCTTGCATTATGTCCCCAGGAACAGCTGTTACAGTATCTCCTTCAGCAAACAGCCACTTCTAACAATCAAGTGTTTACAGAACATATTATGGGTCAGCACAATGCGGAGATATATGCTATTTCCCCTTCTTCATCTCTTCTGAATGGCTGCTAGAAAAACTTTACCATAATTGTACAACTTTTAGGATCAAAGGCTTGCTGGCGGTGACGAATTGCAATAAAATGCTGGCTTAAAACTGAAATGTATTCTGTTAAAAATATGTGAGGACTTCCACCAGAATCTATTTGAAGAAAGTTATTAGATTGAAATGAAAACGGGCTAATTCCCACTCCTGATGCAGACGCATGCATTTTTCCAGCTACAGGCCAATATTTGTAGTCAGGCGGTTGTCTTTGTGACCTCCAAACATTTGGCTTTCAATGGAGAAATGTTTAATAAAAATTTCTTAGATCACTGATTTTAAATGCTCCAAGTGACTACCCATGCTTATCTTTTCATGTGATTCTTAATCACCCGCCGGTGTATGGTCAGAACGACTCCCACTTATCTTCTTTTCCAAACTTACTTCATATGTATAAAACAAGAACATATGTGGATGTCCTTTTACCGGATGGTGGGCATTTTGACTGTCAGTTTTCACTACAGAACCACTTTTAAAGGTAACTTAATATTAACTTTTCAAGCTTCATGAATACATTCCTAACATGTCAAAATATACAGAAACAGTGGGGGGAATTTAACAATACTGGAGCAGACGTAATCTGGAGCAGTTGTGCATGGCAACCAATTAGCTTCTAAGTTCAGTTAAGCTTGAAAATGAAAGAGAGAAGCTGATTGGGTACTATGGGCAGCTGTTTCACATTCTGTTTGCTCCAGTTTTGATAAATTCCCCTCAGTATCTTTTATCCAAAAAAGGAATACCTTCTATAATTAGTAGTGCTAGAGCTCTAGTCAAATGACTAGATACCTCCACTTTGCCAAGGTCTGGGAAAGAGACCTTGGGATGAGCAGATGAGCATTCTGAGAGAATGAGATGATAAGTCTGCTGCAGGTAGGAGGAAGAATTTCCCAAGTATTCCCTCCCACAGTGATCACTCACATGGACTACTGCAACATGGTAACTTTCCAGTAGCATAAATGCTGAGAGGCAGTAGCAGTGCGGGTTGATCTGAGACATCAAGTGTACATATCGCACCTAGAATTACTCAACTATGTCACGTCTGGACCAGCATCTGATATAAGGAAGTAGGTGCAGACCATGGACGATGTTTGATGGTGCGCAATATAAAGGTTAGATCTGGCCAATTTAAAGATAATAATGACCTTAATATGCCTACATTCCATGAGTCTGAGCTGGTGGCAGATTCCTGTTCGGGGGGGCTTTAGGAGAAAAAAATAGGAGTATTCTATGTGTGATACAATGTTACTTCTTTTGTACAGTGAAGACTTGCTTCATCCAAGACTGAATTTGGATACAACTCTCCAAATAAAGACAAGGCCTGGTTCACACCTGTACGTTTTGTAGCGCGTTCAACGCTCTACGAACGCTCTACAAAACGCTCAAACATGAAAATCCCATTGTTTTCTATGGGTATGGTTCACACCTTGCCGTATTTCAGCCCGTCTGAACGCGCTACAAAACGGCCTACGCCTGAAAAGGTACATGAGCTTCTTTGCAGCGTTTTTATCACGCGTTTCCATTGGGATACAGCCAAGTAGCCCTCGGAAACGCGCGTTTGTTGCGCGTTTTTTTACCGCAGATCTGGCTCTCTAATCGTGCGGCCGCTCACTCCTCAAGGGGTACTCGGGAGGCCCCAGCGTGCAGCCCTCTAACATACCTGATTAAAGGGCCGCATCTGCCTGCTCCAGCCAGCCCGGATCGCCTAAGTATACCCTTGAGAAGCGAGCGGCTGCGCTATTAGAGAGCCACATCTGTAGCGGTGCAGGTGGCAGAGAGGCGGTGGAGGGAGGGAACCATTGCACCTGCGGCCAGGGGCTTCATTTAGCGCATCAGCGTGGGAGACAGGAGGCTGGGCTTGTCTGGATCCAGGGATCTACTTAATTTTCTGGCAGTGCCCCTCCCGAGAATAGACTCTGGATCCGCCCCTGCTAGCATGTAGCATAAAACTTTAAATTGAAAACTTTAGTTAGCAGCAGGAGTAGAAAAGCTTGTCCCCTGCCAGTATGCTGTAGAAAAGGATCTCTCTGCATGGAAGCAGTGGTATATATGTAGAGGTCCAACTCACCCCCTGCTAAGTCAGAGCTAGAGCTCCCCAATCACCAAATATCATGTTCCCTGCTGCTGTAGAGCTATAGACCTGACTCTGCATGTGGTATGTCAGATCTGCACAGAGAGATCACTTCTTACAGCATCGCGGAAGGGGACAGGCTATTCTACTGAGGCTGTGGCTGCTCTTGGCAGAAAACACACTTTTTGTTTTTATGGACCCAAAATCGATATAGCTGATTTTATCTGAAGGTTTAATTTGGCTTTAAGAAAAGAAAAGAAAAAAAAAAACTACCAGAAACCTCTAACTAAATAAAAATGAAAGTTATGATAAAACAAGTCAATTAAAAAAACACAATATGGCAATGCACTTAAGAAAAGACCACTGCCCCTATATTCAATAACAAAGCAGTGATGGCTGCATGCTAACCTGCCATAAAGAAATATGGCCAATGTAAACTGCACTTACAAATACAGGGCCAATGCACTGTGTAGAATACCAGAAAAAGGCCTGTGGCTGTCACGGCTTCTGTGAAATTGATATTAATGGGAAGTCTGAGGTTCCTTTGACTGATATTTCAGCCATGCTAATGGATATTCCACAAAATGTAAATGATCCAAGTCTGCATTCAACCTGAACAGAGACAAAAGATACCAATTCCACAGCACAGATTTATGGGTATGGGCTCGCAGTAAGGAGCCAAGGAGTTTATAGTGGCACTACTACACTGTGTGAGCGCTATCCATTATCCTAGCATGAGCGATGGGGAGTGATGGGGGCCACGTTACCTGGGTAATGAACTGTACTGGCGCTGGGCTTGCTGGAAGCTGTCCCGTTCCTCCTGTCTTTGCCTCTGCATCTGAACTTCCACAGACACTGAATGCCGTCCGCTCTGATTATATGTTGTTGTATTTGGCTGGGGAGAAACAAGCAGGGTGAAAAGTGATTTTCGAGCAACATACAAGGACGTGGACAAGGTTGTTAGTCAGTACATCATGTGGATACAAGGCTGGACAATCTCTCTGAGCTGAGGACATTTTAACATTATGCTTGACAAGGAACGTCAAACAGTTTGACAAGTAAAAGATGGCTACTTTGGCAAGGCGTGCTCCTGACTGCTGTTATTTAGATTGGCTCAAAAAAGTAGGATGGATTGTAAACATTTCGTTTTCTGTGGAGTGCCAGAACGGAGTTCAGAACTTTGAGTGCTTGCAGTAATTACAATGGCATGAAAACTCCACTTCTCAAGTAGCTTTAAAACCCCCAGCTGAACAAGAGCCTCAAGGGTTTCACCAAATGAAACCACAGTATGTTAATAATTTAATGATCAAAACATTTATATTATGTGTTCCTATAAAGTGCGGACAAGTCTAAAACCTCTGACAGCTCAGGAGCCACATTCACACATAACGAGTGGAGTCACAGAAAGTGTAATAAAATCAACTTCATGCAAAGTCCATAAAGGACCACTGAGTCCAATGACGATAAAACTACAAGTTACTTATATTAAAGAGCTGCTAGTAATGATTACAATTAAGTACATAAAATATTTCACATCGGCAGGGAAAATCGCTGCTCTACATCAGGCGTCATGCTGGGCAGAAAAAAAAGAGACAGCAAAATGAAAGTTGGCAGGTTTCGCCCCAAAGGTTGCTCAACTGGAAATCAGTTGCCACTTACAGTATTGCTCCGACCTCAAATACTAGCTTCCTATAAAATATATGTATAGGCAAAATAATAAAAAATTAAACATATTCAATACATTCCTCAATACATGCGCATTTCTCCTTGTTTTGTGTCTTTAAAAATTCTACAAGCACAGCAAAAGATCTGGCAGAAATAGGGCAAGTTACTTCCTGTTTGAGCATATGTCGTGTAGTGTTATCATCCCTGCCCAGTTCTCCTTTGGTAGACTACAGAAAACCCGAATGTTATTCAGAATAGGAGAAGTGGAGTGGATCTGTACTCCAGCAGGGCATAGATGACAACAGCAGAAGTGTTATCGACTCAAACAGCAAGCTGGGAGCTCTGGCAGGAGTAACAGGTAGTTTTTGGTTTTTGCAGTGTTTTTAAATAGACAAATCATACAGAAACATACATGTATTGCAGAGCTGCCAGAGCATGCTCAGGCATACACTTTAACAACGTAAGGGCTATTAACATATTAGATGTGACCTGTAGAACTTCAGTTGAGCACACACAGGTGTTCTTGGTTTGTTCTACATTTACTTTCTTATTGCTTTGAATGGCATAAGGCAGATGTCTGTAAAAATATTGAGGCAAAAAGTATATAGATGCTTACATAACCTATAGTATACATATATATGACAATGAAATCCCTGACCCACATCATTGTTAAAGTTTCCTATTGGCGCACTGATAGAGAAAGAGGAAGTGGTATCCTTGTGAGGCTAATAAAATAATCAGTTGAGTTAACAGATCGTTTCTAGTTGGAAACTAACTATACTCTAAAAACAGAAACATATCCAATTCCCTTTAGAGTGCCACAAGGTCTGTCCATGGTGACAAAAAAAACAAACTTCTGATTGCCATTGTAAAAGACACATGATCCTCTTTAACAGCAAATGATACCCATACACCTGAAAAAACACAGTACTTCACATTTCTGGGTGTAATTATACAAATGGAAGTGATCAAACCAACATGGCAGCAGCTCTCCGCCCCATACCATGCACAGCTCTCTTCTGGTAGTAATTTGGGGGCTGTGAACCTGATGAAGAAACACACAAAATGACATATTCCAGTGGCAGTGTAAAAACTTACACATGACTTCAAAGAACATGTCCAGGAATTCCATAACAGTGATTATTGACTGTGTCCAACCAGCCAGGCTTGGGCAATATTGGCAATTTACCTTGCATGACCGAGCTATCAGGCTTTTGTATTGTAGCTGCGTTTGAGGATCACTTGAAGAGCTAAAATCACAGTTCATGTGGAATGAGCTGCTCCAAGGTACCTTAGACAACTAGCATACATTAGAAACTAAAAAGAGCACTGGTGAACATTGTTGGTCACAGGAGTCTAGAGCGAGTGAGGAGTTAGAGGAGGGTGCATCAAAAATATATTGGCTCAGTCTAAACCTCGGTAGTAGGAAAGACAGCAAAAGGCTCAGGAGGAAAAGCCACCTAACCACTAACTAAACCCACCAATTTTGCTGCCTGCCATACTGTCCCCCTGACCTTGTTGAGGACAGTCACCAAGCACCCAAATGCACCCACTGCAGAAAAACAGGGCATAAACATCTGCTCTTACCACGTTTCTATTCTTTTTTTTTTTTTAAACACAACATATTTGTTTCTACCCTAAAATGCATATTTTGTATGTCAGCAGCACCTAAAATTCAGAATTATAATTGCCAACATAGCTTTCAACTACCTAGCAGCTCTGCTAAATCTTTTCAATCTTTCTTTCTTGCGTGCTGTGTAATAGGCATTGAAAGTTTCTGCATAAACACAGATTATATAAATCTCTGAAAAACGCACAATGTCAGCAGAGCATTTACAAAGCAGCGCCGGGTCTAATTGGAAATATATAATTATATGATAGATTCAGTACAGGGAATTGAATTCAAACCATTGTGCATCAAAATTACAAGCCAGCAGCTCAATAGCTCAAGAGATGTCCTTGAATAAGTTTCTATCCTGCATTTGGAGGTTACCAAGGGGAACAGGCAACAATGTTATTTTTTTTTAAATAAAAGCAGGCAGCAATGGGTAGCAGATGTATTAATTCAGACATAATGTGAGACTTTTGTACTACCCCCTGTGCAGTACACAAGCACAGATTGAAAGTAATTCTCTGAAGGGCATTATGACTCGGCTAATGTATTGCAGGAGGCACACAAATGTATGACAGCGTGAGGAACTGACGGCTCTAAACTCAGATCTTCAAAGATCTGTCGCCTGAAAACGAACGGAAACCATTAAAATCCCAATATGTTACGTCTTCAAAGAAATTAAATCTTGAGGGTTCAGTTCTATTTCATAGCACAGTTACTTCATGAGAAAGACAATCATCAATATGCTCTACTAAAAATGTGAATTTTAACCATTTGTGTAATCTGTTTTACACAGTAAAAAAAAACGTAATTTGCTTTGGTAGCAACTGAACCTTCAGGCTTGGTTGACACCTAGGTGATTGCGGTTGTTGAGCTGTTTTCGCACGTTGTTTTTTTGCATAATTTTGCTCATAAAAACCGTGTGGTTCTCTATGCAGAGAGATGTCTATGGGACCAAACCCTCTCAACATCCGCCTGAAAATAGCTCCTGCATCTTTTTGCAGGAACGGCGATATCGCACATGGGACCAGCGCTTATGTGTGAGCTGTTGCCATTGGCATGTATGGGATTTTGTGTTTTGCGCATTATTGCGCGTCCGAATCCCTGCAATGAACCACCAGGTGTAAACCAGGTCTAAAATGACCTGTGGGGAAAAATTTAAATAGCAATTAATTGATTTACTTTTGCATACCTGAATGGCCCTTGCTACAGGGAAGGTCAGCAATCTACCTGGATAACATGGATGGCCGAATGTAATTGCAAGTCTTTTGGAAAGTAACACATTTTGCATATACATATTTCAGCTGTATTATGTGTTGGTGTTATGAACTTGGGCCCACCACATCGTGCACTTGATATAGTTTGATTATCTGTCCTCTGCCCCAGACTAGGGTTACAGCACATATGTTTGTCTGATGTCTTGCAAGACTCCAGTGGCAGTAAAGGAACACGAAACAGGGAAGTAAATTATCCTTTTCTCTGAATATGGCTGCTAAATAATACAATGTACCGTACACAGGGAAATTAGGAAAAAGTGGAAGCACAAAAGGACATGTGCCTAAATGCCACTCTCCCTAGCTGGACATACTTACCTTCACTTTGCTCTCTCTCAGCTTTAGCCCCAGGTAAGATCTAAGCAGCAAAAGCTTACTTGGGGTCTCTTCTCCTTGCTGTTCTTGACTTTATGTAGAGGCAAGGTTGTGACAGGTAAGTTAAGTATATAGGGAAGGCAGCGATTAAGTGAACCTGTTGCTTAGCCCTACATGGGCAAAATACAGGTTTATTTTAGGTCTTAAAAAGTCAGTCCACACAAAACTGGTGTCCAGGCTTTAGGAGATGCCAGAGAGTAAAAGTAAGGTCACAGCCTCTTAGATCTCATTGGTGCTCCAATTATGAGATCTATGGAACATAGGTTTCCAGGTCTGCACCTTCTCTGTATCTATAAAGTAATTGCAGATAATCTTGCAGATATTGAGAAGTAACATCATACTGCATGTGTTATAGCATGATGTGAAAGCCTTCAACATCGATGAGAGGAGAAACTATGGTGGAGAAATCTCACTTTTGAAGACATAGGTAGTCAATGGAAGACTCCAAACTCCTAATCATCTAAACTTAATCAACACTTTGGGTGGGCTGCCTCTTCTAGATGAACATAGCTGGTTAAATACCAAAATGATATGGATGGTACCGATGTACATATAAATTAATATTTTTTGTTTTTGTAGCTGGTTTCAGTACCAGTCTTTGTGATGCACAAAAGGGAGATAAAAGACCTTTAAAAGACAAACGACGCACTATATATCCGCCGAGCAGGATATTAACACCTGTTCATACAGTCACATCTGAGGTGCGGTCTACCTTTATATGCAAACTATATAATTACAATTGGATCTGGTTTGTGTTTTCACTCATCTGGCAGTAAAGCAGTTAAATATAACAAAGATAATATCTGTTTTAAACTTCTCTTTCAGCAGGCCTGCCATCTGCTCAGCACAAGTATTATTTGAAGTCTGAATGTTAAGTATGTAAATTATAATGCTTCAATTCTCCAACATGGTCCAGGAAAACAGACATCTGCTCAACAAGTATTAGGAGCTGGAAGCCGGATTGCCCCT